AAAATGTATGAAGAAGTCTACAGTGAAAGTCTTCCTTCCCACCCTTTCTGGCCAATGTTATCAGTTGTCCCTACTACCCCGTTTAAATGTGTACCTGCGGGGTGCATTGGCGTAAAAACTCAGGGGGGAGACCCAGAGCCGGGCAGTGACGGGCCCAGGCTCCAATAGCTGGCCTGTGGGACTCCCAACAGATAAGCCCAGGCCTGGGGACGCTCAGGACCCCGCTGGCTGGGTAGAGGAATCAGTGCCCTTGGCTCACGCTCTTATCCTTCGGGGAGCCATGGGTGTAGCTACCACTTAGGGGTGCTTGCTCTGAGCCAGACCCTGTGCTGAGCTGCTTAATTATAATCTCACCTAATTCTCTGAGGTGGGTGTTTTTGTCCCGGTCTTACGAATGAGGAAACAGGCTCCAAGAGGTGCAATCCCTTGCCCAGATGACCCAGAGTCAGGGCCCAACCCCAGGGCTGCCTGCAGAGTGGTGGGGGCTTTTCATCTCCGCATCCCACCTCCCCGGGCTGTGAACCCTCCGCATAGCAGCTTCCTCCAGCACTGTGTCCTGCCTCCTTGCTCCCCACTTCTCACGGGTTTCTCAACTATCCAGTCTCACCTTTAGGAAACATCTAGGTCGACTCTGGTGCCAGGAAAGGTCCTTTCCTCCTCTCCTTCGTCAGCGGGGCTGGAGCTGGGCTTCTTAGACATGAGTGAGTGACACGTACTAAGCATGCTGCTAAGGAGTCCAAAATTCTCCCTGCCTAGTAGCACTTGCTGGCCGTGGGGACCGAGGGGGAGCATGGAGGGAAGCAGAAAAACCCAAAGACCCAGTTAGCTTTTATTCTTCCAAGGAGGGGAAGTTCAGTGGAAATAAATGGAATATTTATTAACAGTTTAAGCAGCCACCTGGGGTTCAAAACCTTTTGAGCTCGTGTCAGCTCTCGTTCCCCAATACACTGAACTCTGGAGAAAACTATAAGCAAATTCTCAAGGTCAATGCAAACTGGTTCTCCATCACTCAGAAATCAAGGGGAAAATTTAACCATTTCTGAGGGCCCCACACTCCACTAATTGAGGGAGGATTCCTCTTGTCTCCAGAGTCTCCACGTGAATTGTCTTTGCCATTTGCCCTCCCTCTCTCCTTACTTCCGCCTGGGGCCCAGCTCTAGGGGCTGTGGGCCCTGGGGTGGCAGGAAATCCGTGGACCCATGTGCTGCCAACTTTGTCTCCCATCTCCTCTTCCTCCTGGGGTCCAAAGAGGGGCTTCAGTTGTGGTTTGTTTTCACCCTGCACGGGTGGGCCATGGTTGCCATGGGAACCAACGTGAGGGCAGCCAGGTGGACCCAATATACCTGCCCCGCTACACGCCAGTGCCGCTCAGGGCCTCAGATCCCACTGTTGGGCCTTTTCCTTGGGTTAGACTTGGGCCTCCATTAGTCCTACTCTTTAAATGAAAATCATCTTGGAATGGGGCTGCATCTCTTCCCCAAATCCCAGCACTGTGCTAAGGATTCTGGGTGACATAATAATGACAGCCACCTTCTAGGACAATGCCAAGTGTGTTATGGGTATTCCCTCTAAACCCGGAAGTTATCTGCAGGGTGCTATCACCTTACTTTACCGATGAACAATCAGAGGCTTGGGAAAGGTAAGTGACTTGCCCAAAATCACACTGCAAGAAAGTAATGGAGCCCAGATTTGAAATCAGCTGCTCTCCTTCCCCCCATGAGGCTCCTTGGCAAGCAAAGACAGCTGCGGGACAGCATGGTGCAGGGGTCAGGGGAGCCCAGTCTAGGGGGACACTGGGGCTGAGTGTTAGAAGGCGAGCAAGGGATCAATAGACCCCAAGGGAGGGGCCCATGGAGGAACAAAGGACCCCAGCCTTCTGAAGTGCCAAGATGTCTAGGTAGGTGGAGAATATGCTGGGGGAAGACACTGGGCCTTGTTTAAAAACAATCCACCTACTGATGACCCAGACACTGTCCTGCCTACTTCACTGATACCATCCCAGTTACCTTCCCCACAATGCTGGACCCCGTTTTACAGATGAGCTTACGCGGTGTGCTTTAAGTCACATGGTAGGGCAGAGCTGGGGTTTGAGCCCAGGTCCCCTGCTGGCAGATTCTGTGCTTGTCATCACTCTCACTTTGGAAGGGACCACCTGGTCAAGGCCCTGGCATGATGACTCCTCACTCGGAAGCCTCTTCACTGACGGTATTCCCAAGCCTCACACAAAGACACACAAGCTAACTGCGGGACGGAAGATTGTCCTGGAAAGGCTCAGACCTCTGCCTCTGCCAGTTTTCCCCTTTGCAAAGTGAGCAGGTGCCCTGGGTCTCAAGGATTTGGCCCAGCTCTCTGCTAAGTGCTGGGAAGGGCCACAGAGAAAAGAGAGGGCAGAGGAGGGAGACCATGAATGCCCTCAGCCTAGCTCTTGAGATAAGAGCCACCTGAATGAGAGAACACAGCCGTGTTTTCTCCACCACTTGATTCTGCTCTCAACTCTGGGCAGAAGCTGAAGCAAGTCTTGACACTTGCTGTCTTGCCCTGAGTGCTGGGCAACTTTAGGAGGCCTCTGGGTTTGAGGGATCCCCTTTAATCAAGAACTACTTGAGAGTATTTTGTGCTGGCACATAGTAGGTGCTCCACAATGTTTGCTGAATGGACGAGAAGAGGTGTGGCATGGGGGGGGTGCCTCCCGTGGGCCCCATACCTGGCACACTCTCAACAAGGCTTCTCTGCCTCCCCTTGCCCCAACTCTGCATGAGGATTAGAAGAAAGCCTGGTGGTTCCGGTCTTCTCATTACCTGGGAAGCTGGTGGGATAGGCCTTTGTGAAAAGGTCTCAGTGGGGCCCTCAAAGATGGCTTATGGACACAGATTTTCCTGTCATTCCAGATTTCCGGCCATTCACATTCTCTCTGCCCTTTGGTTCAGGGTCCATTGCCCCAGGGGGCTCTAGCTTGAGCTGAGCAGCTGTTAGCTGAGCACCTGTTTTCTGACCTCCCATTGACCTCAGCGTGGAGACCACTTCACTGGGCCCTCTTTCCACACTGTTCTGTGCTTCTGTATGTGGCTCCCTCCCTAGCGGAAGTCCCTAAGGAAAAGAAATGAGTTGTCTCCTTTTCCAATCTCTTGCCTAGCACTGGGCTGGTCCAAGAGGGTAGTCAGAACCCAGCAGAAGAATAAGGATTTAAATGGAATGTGCTGAATCATCAGAGGATGCTGAAACTCTCACTAAAGGGTAGAAGAGAAACAATACTTACATAGTCTCAGAGTAACCCCCCTTCCCACACTAATAAATTACAAGGAAATGTTAATAATTGTATAATTGTACCTTAACCTGGTGATTAAAGTTAACATCCCCTGGAATGAAGGAAAGAGCTATCATGGGCCTTCTGCTATGATGTACTGAGGACTCAGCATCACTTTTTCCTGCTGAAAATGCATAATCTGAATGTAATCCTATGAAAACATCAGACAAGCCCAAATTGGGGAACATTTTACAAAACAAGTGGATTGTACTCAGAGACACAATAGCTAAATGCAACTTACGATCCGGGGCCAGAAATCGTTTCTCTTTCGTTAAGAAGGATATTTAGGGAAAGGAAACTTGGAAGCTAGGAAGGAAATCTGGCAAACTTCAGTCAAGGTCTGCAGAGTAGATGATGGTACCGTGTTCATGTTAGCCTCCAGCCTGGGCTCGCTGTAAGAGAAAGCCCTGTTTGTAGGACAGCCATGCTAAACTCGTAGGGGAAAGAAGAGTATTCTGTTGGCAACTTACTCTCGAATACTTGACAAAAAATTAATGATATATGTGTTTATATATGTGTGAGAAAGACAGAATGATAAAGCAAATGAGTTAAAATGTTAACACTTGGGGATTATGGGTGAAGGGCATACAGAAATTCTTTGTATTGTTTCCAAAACGTCTACGTTAAGTCTGGCTTCACAATAGAATGAAAAAAAGGTGGCCAGTTTGAAGTTTGCCTGAAGAGAGCCGTCAGCCACGTGGACCAGGCACTGCAGGGCCGGGTTCCCCTCCCCACGGAGGAGGGAACTGGGCGCCCTGAGTGGGGAGGCGCCCCGCAGCTGGGAAGCAGCAATGGTTGGCATCGATGCAGGTCTCTTTCCACGGGAGCCTGCTCCTCCGAGTTTAAGCACCAGGCCTAGCATTCAAGGCTGTGCCGCAGCTGACTGACTCTGGGAGTCTCTGTCTCCATGCCTTTGACACATGGCTCGTCTGCCCAGAACCCTTCCTTCCCTGCCTTTGCCCAACCAAAATGTCCCATCTCCCGGGAAGATTCTGACCGAAGCCCCCCTCGCAGGAGCCCCTGTTCAGGCCTCTGTGACGTCTGGCCTGTGGGAGCTGTGGCTGCAGCCGGACGTAGCTCTCGTGTGCTGCTGGGGGTCAGGAACGATGTCACTGGACTTTGCTTAGGGCAGAGTGGCCAATCGGTTCACTGAAGACCAGAGTGTCCTGAACGTTTTGAATCGGATGAAAGCTACGAATCCTCCGGTCCAATGAGCATCCAGGTGAGGAGTGAGGTGGGAGGCGGGTGATGAGAGGGCAGCTCTTTCCCCAGACTGATGGTTTTCGAAGACTGGGGGACTTTTCCTTTCTGAGACAGCCCACTCCAACTTCCCTCCCCCCAGTGGGGGACAGAAGTCCTTGGGCCCCGGGCCCATTTTTCTGCTTTTTTTCCAAAGCTCAGCTAGCAGATGTGGGGGTTGCACCCCTCGCCAGGCCCTCCCCTGCTGCGGCAATACCTGCCGCGTCTGAGAGGCAGGGAGAAATTCTGCTGGGGGTCCCTGCTCCCGAGACCCTTCTGACACTCATTGCTACTCGACTTTTTTCCTCCAACACAGTAAATCTCCTTCTATCATTGTCCCAGTTGATATAGTAAGTTGTGTCATTTTGAGAAGAAATACATAATGGTATATTAGAGGAATCATGGATCTCCTCATTCATGCTTAGAAAAAATTTATTACAATGTAAGAAAGTCTGAATAGCATGAATTTATTATAATGATTTAACACTTCTGCACTTGAGTTAAAAATGCCTCTCCATAAATAAATGTCCCTGGAAAACATAGCAAATTTACACAGTTTACCATTTCCCAATATTATATAAATCCAACGCGCTTAGATCACATCTGGCTGGGAGGAGAAGGCTGCAAACTGGGGCTGTGGAGTTCATCCGGCCTCAGGCGGCAGCGACAAGCACTAGGACAGCCGGCCTTCCCTACCTCCAGCTCCTCATCTCAGCGCTGGGGAAGAGAAGGACACGAAGCGGGGAAGAGTACAGCGCAGAACTGCAGCGCAGGCGCAGGACCCTGGACCGTGGACGCCCTGGTCAGGGGGTCAGGCCACTGTCTGTGCGGTGGCGCCAGTGAGGTACCCGCCAAGGCCACCAGCTGTGGAGCGCAGAGGAAGGGGAGGGAGAGGCTGGTGCCCACGCCCTGCCTGGGCCCTGGGCTTCCAGCCACGCGCCTCTTCTTCTCTCACAAACCCCAACAATGCTCTTTACTCCTGGGTCTTCCAGTCCCTTACATTCCACGGAGCCCCCCTCTGGCTCCTCTGGACACCCCGCCTGGGCCTCCTTGCGTTGACACTTTTGCCTTATCACTCTCGCTTTCCTCTGGGCTAGATCAGCATTCCAGGCACCAACCTGTAAGGTAGGAAGGACCACCCCCTTTTGACAAGTAAGTTTATAAATTGTTCTATCTGAGGCTTAGAGAGTATAACTTATAAAGCTTAACTTTATAATCCAGTTTAAATTTGTAAGGCATAACCTGTCTCAATGTGTACAGCTCGCAAGTGGGAAGTCTGAGTTGACTCCAAGGTCAGTATTTGTCACCTTTGGACACTTACTGTTCTAACAGGGAGACAAACAATACAGCACAGTTTGAGGTGGGATATGACGGAAGGCTCCTGGAGCATTATTGGAGCCAGGAGAAAAGAGTCTATAAGGATGCCTGGAGGGAGGGCAGGATCAGGAAAATATGGAAGTGGTGACAGCTGAGCTAGGTCTGGAAAGATTCATCCATGACAGAGAGAGAGAGATGTGGAAAAGTCACACAGATAGGAAAGAGCAGCATGTCTTTGGGAGGTGGCCAATAGCTGTGAGTTGCAAAGGTGAACGTAGCAGAGAAAGGAGGGAGATGAGGTCAGATGCTGAGTCCTGATATGTCACTCTAAGGGGTATGCTCCTTGCCCTGTAAGCATTGTGGAGTCCTTTGGATTTTTAAGCAAGAAAGTTATAAATCTTAGGTTTGTTCTAGAAAGAAAATGCGAGTCAGTGTGGGAATGAGGAGAGAGCAATGGAGGTGTCCCTAAGCCCCTCAGTACAGCCCTCACTTTCTCCTTTATGAGAGAGGGGCAAGCCGCCTGGCATAGTACAGAATACTGGACTTTGGAGGCACAGATCTGTTTAATGGCTTCCTTCCCTCCCTCCTCTCCCTCCCTTTCACCCATGCACCTACCTATCCATCTAACTGATAAATAATGATAAGAGCCTACAACGTGCCAGGAACCATGCTAAGTTCTTGGGAGTGAGTGACAGCTAAGACCTACATCTTATCCTGGCCACCACGGGGCCTACCATCTAAAGGAGGGAATCAAATAAACAGGCATTTCTAGCACAGCAAATGTGGTGATAAAGGATGTACAAACGGCTAAGAAAGCTCACAAGAAGGTCAGGAGAAGGATATCATAGTGCCTTCAGGAACTATGGAAGTTCACAGCACAGAAGTCAAGAGAAAGAAACAGTGGGGAAATGAAGGGGCCGGAGGTCTACAGTGGGCCAAACCATGAAGGTCCTCGTGCATTATGCTCAGAAGGCCAAGCTTTCTTAAGTGCAATAGGAAACTAAGTACTGGAACTATCCAACACTTTTAAGCCAGGGTGTGACATGGCAAGATGACCCTGGTAGCTTCCTGGAGAACAGTAACAGCTAACCCTTATGAGTGCTTATTTATCTGTGCTGAGCACTCGACATGCATTAGTTCACTGCACTCTCCAATAACCTCTCGTGGTAGGTTCTGTTGTGATCCCCATTTAAAGATAAGAGTGAGGCAAAGAAGGGTAGAGTCACTTGTTCAAGGATGAATCCAGGCCATCTGGCAGGAAGACCAATGCACAGACTGTTGCACCAGCAGAGACAGAGCGAAGGGGCGGGTTGAGAAATAGGAGGTGGACTTGATACTACTTGGGAATTTGACTGGAAGGAGGAGGGGGGGGATGGGAATAATGACCTTCCCACCCCCAGATTCTGAGTTGGAATTCTATTCTTTACTAGCTGATGACCTTAGTTAGGGTTTGTTATGCTTCATTTTCATTATTGGTGCACAGGGTGACACCTTGAAAACTTAGGTGTGCATAGATGTATCCCTGTCCTCATTCCATCAAGGAATTGAGGTGGCTTATAAGTAACACGTATGCAAATGATTTCTTAAAAGTATGACTCTCATAAGCATTGAATAAGATGGTGCATAGGGCTTGGAGTTGGTTGAGTGATGATTATGTTCTCACCACCTCTGCCTCTGAGGGGCACCTGCAGTCTCCTTGGGCAGGTGGAGGTGCTAGGTTGACCAGGGGAACAAGGGGCAGGAGAGGGTCTCCGGCTGTTAATTGAATCTACCAGTATGATCTCAAAACTGGGCATTTCAGGCACACAAGCCCTCACCTAACATCTCTTAGCACCTAAAGCCAACTAGACAGGACCATTTTTCCTGTCTCAAAGGGCTGTGATAGTTCTTCCTTGCTGAGTAGTTTGGGTGACAGGCACATGGAAGGGACTCAGAGGTGCACAAAGATCAAAACTTCCATTCCAGCAACCACACAACCTAGAGGAGACTTGGTGTCCACGTGATGGGAGCGAGCTGAAGTCAACCAGGAAAACCTATCAGGATATGGCAAACCGTTTTGTTTCTGTTGACCCAAGCTTCGGCTGTTTTAACACATACTGAGGAGAATAACATCTGATAACCTGGGGCACTGTTCTTGCTTTCAAGCTCTGCCCCACTGATCTGATGAAGGGTGTTGAAGGGACAACTCGATATCAAGACCATATGGGGAAAATAGCCATGGAGATAATTATTAACTTAAAATCTCATACGTATATAAACAGTTGCCCGCAGTAAAAACAATACTCTCTGAGGTGAGGATAAAGCATGCACTGGGAGGGGTCTGCCATAGCCTCCATCCACCTCACTAAAGACCACAGACTTTTTCCAGCTCCTCTCCTTTAGGCCTATCTCTTCCCAGAGTCTCTGGCCATGATGCTGGGAGCAGGGCCGAGTGGAAAGAGTGGCTCTGAGGGAGGAGAGAACCCCTCCCTTCCCTATGACATTTGGGGTTTTCTAGATAAGTCCTCACCACAGGGGAGCAGGTTTGGATGAATATAAGTGTGCCTACGTGAAGGATGACTGCCAGAAAAAGTTTTTCCTTGATTGACCTTCGTTTCCTAAATCAAGCACTTTGGGCCCCTGTAGGAGCTTCATTGGAAATACTTTGTCCTATGCCATTTGCAAACACGGATTGGTTTTTCTCTCACAGGGTGGGGGGCAGCAGAGTGGGCAATGTTGGGGCATTATCTGCAGCACCCCTAATAGGTGTCTAGTCTTGCTCTGAGGAAGAAGCTGGAGGCAACCAGTCACTGTTGGGAGCACTTTACCAGGAAGAAAGGCAGACTCCTCCGTGTCAGACCCTCTCTCTGGAGGATATCTGCAAGTAGGTCAAGCTTCTAGGCTCCACAACAGCCTCAAGGCTCTACAACAACCTTTTCATATATATATATCTCAAAGTCAGACAGATGAAGACGTTAACATACACTGTTCAGTTCATAAGGAAGACATTGGATTAGACACAAATTCACATCCTATTGCCCTGACACACAGGAAGGGCCTACAGGATAGAGAAAGGCAACCGGTGGGGGGGATGTAGCATATGAAAAATATGTTGATTGACGCTCTGCTGAAAACCCATCTTTGCTCTTCCAAACTGCTCATGCAGGGGGAGGTAAAGAAGCACTTAAACTCCAATCTGTGGCACGTGACCACCCCCGCCCCCTGCCAAAAGCCCTTAGTTTGTCTCATTTATGATTCTTCTAAAGGCAAACAAGCTTCTTAAAGAAATCATAATCATTTTCTTGGTCCTCCTGGCACCCCCTTATTCTAGAGAACTGTAAAGACACTGGTGTCCAAATGGCGGAGTATAGTTATGGCTGATCCAAGGGAATTGGATGTACTTAAAGTGCTCTTGACACCTGGGGCAAGGAAAAGATAGTTCTGGAAACTTAAATTTAATTGAGAAAATGGCTGAGGGCACTCAGTTTGTTTCTTCCCATTTTGCCACACCAAAGGAAACTCAATTTTCCAAATGCTTTCTGAAATGGTATGAAATTGACTCAGTTTCTGTCATGGGGTGAACTTTAAAAGGATACTTTAATCTGCAGTGTTTTTTCAACTTTTCAATTGGATGCCTAAAACTAGTCAGTCAATCCTGACCTCAGATTAAGGACTGGTGTTGGTAGATCCCATTCTTATCTTCTCCCAAGAGCAAAAAGACCCAACTGAAGGAAGGCTGAGTAGAGGTGATAGGGCCTCAGCCTGAAGAGACAATGAGATTTTGATCTACCCAGATAAGGAATCTGTTTAACAAGGCTTTTGTAGGTTGATATCTAGTTTTGATAAAGAATTCAGGGAAGCCATGCAGGCTCACTAAATGCAGTTCAACCTGGGTGGTCTGACCTTGGCTACCAATGCTGACTGACAAAGACTCTTGATCCCATTTCAGGCCTAGCATTCGGTGAAAGGGAGAGAGAAACAGAAAGCGACACCCTCCAGATCAAATAAAGTCATCAAGTAGACACATCTGGGGACACACCTCCCTGACTTCCAATGACTGGGAGGTTGTTAACTCACTGGCTCTACAAGGCTCATCATGCTGCCCATCGGCGTGAGAGCTCACTAGAGCCCACTGTAAGCTGAAGGACCCATCTCAAGAGCTCTGCCAAATAGGAGAACAGAGAGAGAATGAGGTCTCAAGTGTACTTCTTCCACAGATCTTCTCTGGGTCAAATGGAGGACCCAGTGGGAAAGATTGGAAAGACCAGGAGGATTCTGCTTGGGGCTGGCGGAGGAGAATCTGGCAAGTAGAGATGGTTCTTTGGGGTCATGGGACAGTGACTCTGAGCAGAGCACCCAAAAGACCTGATCAACCCAGGGCCTTTGGTCCTCATGAAGTAAGAGGGAGGACCAGGGAAAGTCTCTCAGCCTGTGGCAGCTGATGCCCCTCTCTAGTGGCTTCTCCCCCAGACACAGCCCTGGGCAGCTCACAAATATAGACACTTAGGTCAATAAAAAGTACTGAGCTCTTGCTCTTATTTATCCTGGGAAATGGGTGGATGTCAGGAAAAACATGTCAGTCCTGTGCCTCCATTTTATTTCCTGAGGGCAGTCACTCTGTTACATGACTTAATGCTGGTTTCCAAGGGTTGGTTGGATCCCTCCCTCCAGCCCATTGTGCCCTTTGGTTAAGGGCTGATGACCACTGGAACTGACTCACAATTGGTCCTCATTGTTGCTTGTGACGGTAGGGCACCAATTACAACTTCGGAATTAAATGACTACACGTGCATAGAAGTAGGCAATGAGGGAATAGAGGTAAAGGAGAGGTGGAGAGGTAAAGAGTCTGTCTTTCTGAAACTGCTTATGTTACAAAAGGGCTACTTTTAAATCAGAGGGAATCTTTCCGTGAAAAGGTCTTCCTTGTGTACAAAAGAAAGCCAACCTCTTCTAACAAAGTATTGAGAAGGAAACACTCTGGAAATGAGGCTGAATATCCAAAGGCCTTTGCATGTAGAAAGTGTCCTATGTTAATTTTCTAATCTCTGCTTGGCATAGAAAAGATCACCCTTATCACCCCTTAATGTGTTACCTTCTGATGGGTCTGATCAAAACCACTCTGGGTTTGTAGCATGATTACTATGTTCAACATGTAACAGGATGTTAGTGAGAGAGGCCCCTGTGAAAGGAGAGACACAGTTACTTTGCAATCAAATAATTTAAAATCCTAGATCAGGATATAAAGAAGCCCACACATTTTGGATGGAAATTTTGTAGCATGTGTTTCAACGTCAAATGAAAAAGATATCTTCCAGAATTTGATTCTCCTCTAGGTCTTCAGGGGTCCTGCCTGTCCCCATCTTGTTCCAGGTTGATTTTCGAGGACTGAGTCGACGAGTACTGTGATTCAAGGCCCCAGCTTCTCTGGAGGGATGGGGCTGAGGTTTGGGAGCAGACTTTGGACTCAGAGATTGAACCAAATCCAGCAGAGATGTCTCATATCTGCAACACACACAAACCAGACAGAAAATGATCAGACCAGTGGAACATTAGAATCCAAGAAGCCTACAGAGATGGGCTGCCGGGAGCAAGAATCAGATCACCGATCACATCACGTGTAAGAGGGTCCACGAGGGGAATTTTAGGGAGGGTGAACAGCAGAAGGCCCCCGCTGCCTGCCTGTAAGCTCTTCTCTTCTGCTGATCACCAACATTCTTTTCTCAGCTGTGAAGAGAGGCTGTGGAGTGGGCAAAGGAACAGTGACAACAGTAATGCTGGATCAAGTAATAGCTAGATTTACTGTAGGCTTACTAAGTGCCAGGCACTGTTCTTTTTTTTTTTTTTTTTTAAAGATTTTATTTATTTATTTGATAGAGCACAAGTAGGCAAAGCAGCAGGCAGAGGGAGAGAAGCAGGCTCCCTGCTGAGCAGGGAACCCGATGTGGGGCTCCACCCCAGGACCCTGGAATCATGACCTGAGCCGAGGGCAGACGCTTAACCAACTGAGCCACCCAGGTGTCCCCCAGGCACTGTTCTTAATGCTTTACATGTATTCAACCTTCATTTAACCCTCTGAACATGAAGTAGGTACGCTACTAGTCTGATCTCTAGTATATACACGAGGAAACCGAGGCTCAGGGAAGGAACTCATCCAACATGAAGCCATTATATGGCACAGTCAGGATTTGGACCCAGGTAATTTGTCTCCAGTGCTCTCATTCAGGACATTAAAGCTTCCTGGTTTAAATCTCTGCTCTACCATCTTCAGGCTGTGTAATCTTGGGAAAGTTCTTCAACCTCTCAGTTCAGATTCTCATGCGTAAGGGGCTAACAGAGCTCCTGTTAGGATTAAATGAGTCGGTTGGTATAAATTAACATAAATAATAAATGCTAGTTCCGTCCTGCTATCTCACTCCCATTCTCTCTACAATCTTGGGAAAAGAAACTCTCATCTGAATCTATGAAGAGCTCCCTCCAAAGAAAGACTGCCTTGGTGTCCAGCATTTTCATCAAAAAGGGTAGGCTTAAGCAGCAGAGAGACAGAGAAACTACTAGTGGTCAGTAACACCCTCATCCATGACCCATTTGTATGTATTCCCATTAGGGAAAGCCAAAGGCATAAATGCATCTGTCTCCATCCTCATTCATACAAGGGGCCAAGTAATCTCTACAGATGTACCATGAAGTCTCGAGCAGTCGCACATGGCCTGTTGTGGTCTTGAAACTCTTGATTTTATCTTTGACTTTGTGTTTTACAAATGAAGTCTGATGGGACAAGGGAGCAGGTGTGTGAACAGAGGAGATAAGCTGGGTACACGTATGTGGGTCCAGGCCCACAGGCACAGTGGACAATGGGCAGTGCGTATGCCAAACAGTTGGCCTGCCTGCCTGCCTGCAGGCCTGGTGTGCACATTCCTGCCCAAAGCAGCCTGGGGCGCTGCAGGGCTCTGAGGGTGTGGCTGGGGCTGGGACCTGGGCCCATTCTGGTGATGATGATGGTGGGAGCAGAAGCAGCAGTCGTGGTAGCACTTGCAGGCTTGCCTGTCTTTTCCCAGAACCCATCCCCAAGGCAAAATACTGGCGCTCAGCAGTAAATGGCCCCTTCTGTCTCCTGATGCCTGAGCAGAGGTGGGGGAGTCTGTGCTCTCCTTGATGCAGCTTGCGCTTGGCGGGGAGGGGTGAACTACTTCGGAAGCACTGTGCCTGAACCATTGCTTGTGGATTTATAGTAGTTCAGTCATAAAAAAAAAATTATAATAAAAAAAATACTAGCTCTCTGGCCTGGGCACTGAGATGAGAATGGTAGCATTTACGCAATATACATCAGTAAAATATTATAATATAAAAGCATACACAGATATAAGAAGAGATATAAGAATTCTTCAAAGAGTTTAGAATCAGGTTTTAAAACCTGCTGCTCTGGGGCGCCTGGGTGGGGCTCAGTCGGTTAAGTGTCAGACTCCTGATTTCGGATTTGGTCATGATCTCAGAGTCCTGAGATCGAGCCCCGCATCAGGCTCTGTGCATGGGCATGGAGCTTGCTTAGGATTCTCTCTCCCTCTGCCCTTTGCCCCTTCCCCCCACTCACATGTGTGCTCTCTCTCTCTAAAAAAAAAACAAAACCAAAAAACACAGAACCCCCCCCCCAAAAACCAGCTGCACCATTGCAAAGTAAATATCCACGGGTTTAGAAATTAAATGTAAAGATTGTTGCATCTGATGGAAAACAATACTATTTTTTTTTTTAAGATTTTATTTATTTATTTGAGAGAGAGAATGAGAGACGGAGAGCATGAGAGGGAGGAGCGTCAGAGGGAGAAGCAGACTCCCTGCCGAGCAGAGAGCCTGATGCGGGACTCGATCCCGGGACTCCAGGATCATGACCTGAGCCGAAGGCAGTCGCTTAACCAACTGAGCCACCCAGGCGCCCCAAACAATACTATTTTCATATGCAGCTTCAAATGAACCAATTAATGAGGATGACAATTGTAAAATTAATTTTTCTTTGTCATGGAAGAGACTGCAATAGAAAGCATAGGTAGGAGTTTTGAAGTATATACAAATCGTTAAGTGATTTTGGTTTCTTGTATGACCTCTGTAAGTTACAGGACATACCAGAGAAAAACAACATTGAACAAACTTATATTTAAAATGAGATTTTTGACATGCATAAAACTAATGTGTATAAAGAGTTGTACCTTCTTAGAAAAATTGTTCTGTCATCAGCTCAAGAGATAGTAGAATTTATATTTTGAAACCATTTATCAGAAATCTATCCTAGGGTTGCCACAGCCTATAAAATACTCCCAACAGCTCCACTGTCAGTTGTATCAGCAGAAAGATTCTTCTCAAAATTAAAAATTACCAAAAATTATGTGTGATCTTTCATTTGCCAAGAGTGACTGATTTGCTTTTAATTGTATCATTTAAAATAAAGTTGCTAAATGTATCGATTTTGATGATCATGATCAGTCAAGTTATCACATTACTAAAGTATTATTTATTATATAGAATCATGACCTCAAAAATAAACATTTTCTTTGCTATCTGTAGGTTTGTGCTATTGGTCATGATTTATAAATTTCTTCTTAAATGAAAAAGCTTTGTATTTTACTATCTTTAACTGTACATTTTCATCCTACTTTTTTTCTTCATCCTACTTTTTGAACAAGGGGTCCCACATTTTCATTTTGCATTGGTCTCATAAGTTATGTAGCTGGCCTGCTCTCAAGTTCCAGGCAAGATCAGACTAACATCTCAGGGATGGAAATGTCATATTTTCTACGGTATGAAAAGCTGTAAATTGAAATTCTTTTGAGCAGAATTTTTTGTTGTTGTTGTTGCAGATTTTATTCTCAAAGCATTAAGGCACTATTTCAATACAATTATCTCTGCCATTCAAAACAATGGTTACTGTGTTCAACCAAAACATCTTCATTTCAGGTGTAAGCCAATCAGTTGGGTACTGTTTCCAAGAAAGTTTCCAGAAAGAGAGACTTACTTCATGCTCAAGGAATAGGCTTTGTTTGAACCTTCCTTAGAGACATGTGGCAGTCTTATGGTAATAGTCATCTCTTTATACAGACTGTCAAAACTTATTGAAAAGCTAGAAATAATGGAAAGGTGTATTTTTCTATACAATTTCATGCTTAAAACAGCTAGGGAGAGATACTCTGAATGAGGAAATAGCATTTTATACTAAATACCAGCTGCTTTCTCTGTTAAAAAACAGAACCCAAATAATTGGGGATCAGAAAGTATGTCAGAAATCAATCTTTCAGAGATGCAAGCTAAAATAGAGAGTAATGATAGGGATTTGTGTTTAAAGACTGATTTAATAGGTACCAACTTATTTGATCATTTGAAAAAAAAGTTGTGGACTTCAAATTCCTTCATAGTACTCTTATTCAGATACAATATAGTAGAAAAAATCTTCATAATATGGAAAGAATGACCCACAAAACCACAGAAAGTTAGATCTGATGTATTAGGATAAGTTAGGTTATGCAGCAGAATGAATTAATGTCAAATTCCAATGGCTTCATATAACTCAAATATATGTCATGCTTATGTTATAGACTCAAAGTAGGTCCAGGCAGAGTGGCTCCACCATCTTCTGGCTACATCACCTGGAACACGTAAGCTTCTCTATCGTTTTGGCAGGGCAGAGAAACTGAAGAGTTGTACACAGGTTTCCACAGCCTAGAAGTGACACAGCACCTCTCCTTCTATCTGATTGGCCAGAACTAGTTGTGTAGCTCCAGACGGGAGGAGAACCGGATATTGGCAAACAGTAATGCTTAGTCATGGAGGCCTGGGTCTTAGACATAATTTGAAATAATTCTCTTATTTTACTGATGAGGAACCTGTGGTCCAGACAGCTATAAGTGAACTGATTAGGGTCACACAGCAAGTGAGTGGCAGAGCCAAGTGGTTTTTACTCCAGGCACCGTGACTTCCTAGACTTGGGTATCTTCAGTCTTTCCACAGAGATAAATCAGATGTGTAACTCAAGGCAAAGTAAAAGAAGAAAATAGTTGCTGTTTCCAATTGCATTTTATTTTATTTATATTTATTTTTTTTAGAGAGAGAGAGTGTGCATGCATGAGCAAGTGGGTGGGGGGAGGGACAGAAGGAGAGGGAGAGAAAGACTCTTAACCAGGTCCAGCGTAGAACCCAACTTGGGGCTCTGTCTCACAACCCTGAGATCATGACCTGAGCCAAAACCAAGAGTTGGACGTTTAACCGCCTGAGCCACCCAGGCGCCGCTACATTTTATTTTAAAAGTATAGTATGATTAGTTGTAACTCAGCATGAACATATCCACATTTCTAATCAACTGGGCTATCTTTTTGCCATTAATTTCATTTATCCTAAAGTACAAATGCTTATCTGCTTGGTTCTGCTGTTATAAAAATTCTCTTTCTCTAGAAGCCATGGATTACACTGTGGGAGAAAAATCAGAAAGTCTGTGGTAGACAAGGTCCTCAGATTTCAGTAGC